TNTTGGTCATGTCCTACATGCGGGGCGAGAACCTGGTCGACGGCATCCAACGCCTGGGCGACCGGGCCGCCGCGCGCGAGGGCGTGCCGTTCGAAGCGCTGAAGAAGCGCATGGTGGACAAGTTCGAGCGCGAGGGCTACCCGGAGCCCTACGCGGGGCCGTCGGCGCTGGCTTTGGACGCGTTCCGCGTCGCCGACCGCTGCCGCTGCGCGCTGGTCAACTGCGGCGTCTTCCTGCGGCGCGCGGCCGCGCGGGTACGCGGCGCGGAATTGCCGGCCTACGCGGCGCCCCTGCTCGGCGACTTCAACCCCGCGCGCGTCATGTCGACGCTCTGCGCCGTCCACGGCCACGAGCTCCTCGTCGACGGCCTCTTCAACGGCGACCCCCACGCGGGCAACTTCCTGCTGCTGGAAAACGGCGCGATCGGCTGCATCGACTACGGCCAGGTGAAGCGCCTCAGTGACGCGGAGCGCCACTGGCTCTGCCGCTGCTACGTCGCCCTCGCGACGGAGGACGTCGCGAAGCTCCGGAGCCTCGCGGCGGAGATTGGGATGCGGTCGCGCTACAACACGGACCTCTGCCGCGTGAAGATGCTCACGTTCAGCCTCGACCGCGACGGCAAGGACGTCACGGACGGGCTCAACTTCCAGCAGTTCATGGACAAGATGTACGCTTTGGACCCCTGGGACGAGGTCGTGCCCATGATCGTCATGCCGAGCCGGCTCTGCGTCTTCATCCGCGGCATCGGCCTCATGATGAACCACCCGATCTCCTGCACGAAGGAGTTCCTCCCCATCGCGAAGAAGGTCCTCGAGGACGAGGGCGTCGACTACTAAAGGGGGCGTAGATCGACTTTTTGAAAACCTCGGATGAACCGCCAACGGGCAACTTGACTTCAATGACTTAAACATTGACATTCAAGGTTTGCGAATCTGAAAGGGTCATGTGATGCATATGGCAACCCTCGGGCAGCGAATAGCAACGAAGCCCTTTGCGACGGCAAGCACAGCCTCAGCGGCTCTTAAAAAAAACTCTCCCGGGGCGCGTCGGGCGCGAAGAAGGCGTCGGCGGCGGCGTCGCTGAGGGCGAGGACGACGGCGACGTCGAAGAGGAGGAGCGCGGCCGCGTGCGCGGCGGAGACGTGGAGCGCGAAGCGCCGGGCCTGCGCGACGAGCGCGGCGACGACGAGGACTTGACTTCACTGTGCGAACCATGGGCAGCATGGTGTTGCCGCACTAGCAGCGCTGCCCGATGATGGCGATGCGCCTCTTCGCGGCGCTGCTGCTGCTGCGCCGGTTTGCGGCGGACGCGCGCGCGCCCGGCGCGCCGCCGCCAGGGATTTGCGAGATCAAGGACCAGGCCGCGGAGTGGCGCCGCACGCCACTCTATGGCAAGTACAAGCGCCTCGACGTCTTCGTGTCCGGCATCGAGGGCGCGGGCCACCACGGCGTCGTCAACGGCTTCCTCGCGCCCGTGGTCCAGCTCGTGACCGTCGCGCACCGCACGGACTGCGACGACCGCACGGAGATGCCCTTCTTCGGCCATCCCCCCGCGCGGCAGGGCCGGCGCTGCGCGCTCTACGCGCTCTACGGCTGGGAGCGCGACCGCGGCGTCCCGTCGCGAATTTTCCGGGGGAACCGTCGCGTCGCACAGGTCCTACCCGTCGGAGCGGCGGCTGCACCCGCCGGACCGCCTCGCGGCGCTCTACCTCAAGAGCTGCTTCCCGGGCGGCTACCCGCCCGCGTGGAAGGGCTACGGACTCGACCGGCGCGGCGACCTCAAACGGTGCTGGCGCTGCGGGACCTGGCAGGCGACCCTCGACGACGCGTACGCGCGCCTGCTCCGGAGCGACCGCCTCGACGTCTCCGCGCTCGTAAAAGGAGTCACGGGCATGCGGGTTCTGGTGCTCTGGCGCGACTTCACGAGCTGCGTCTTCTCCCACGGCCTCTTCGACGGCAACGCCCACGCCCACGCCGTGCTCCTCGCGGCGCACGCGGCGTCCATGGCGCGCGACGCGGCGGCGATGGACCCGAATGACTGGCGCGTGTTGCACTACGAGAGTCAGGGACTGGAGCTACCGCGGCGCCCGGCGCCTCTGCGCGCGACGGACGCGCGNCGCGGGCGCGGCGGACG